CAGGTCACTGGGATGGGGTCAGGGATGCCAGCAGGAGTCGCTTGTGTAAGGGGTTGGGGTCCGTTCCAAATGTAATCACTCAATTTATTTCTTTAAAGTCTGTCTTCTCTGCTCATGAGCAAGCGTCACGAGGCCAAGGACAGAGCCGTCCCACAGCCCTTACTTAGCCCAGGGCCTGGCGCACGACAGATTCCAGTAATTCACTTCTGACCGCCTCTGTGCTGCGGGCAGCCGCGGCCTGTGGACGCTGAGCTCCTCTGACAGCAAACACGCAGGGCCGGCACCGCCCGCTGTGCTGACCTCTTTCATCAGAAAACTTACTCACAGGCTTTATTTCATTACTTTAATTTTTTTTCCCCAAAGCAGTAAATGTTCACTGCAAAAGTGAGAGAGAGAGGCTTCAGTACATTGTTTACTGTAGAGTAAAAAGAAAATGTGCCCCCCGCCTCGTTCTATTTCACAGACATAATGCATCTCAGCATTATGGTGACGTCATTCCAGGCTCCTTCTCTGGACAGTCAAGCAGTGGGTCAGTCTGCAAGTGTTAACTGAGCATCTGCTCTGGGCCAAGTTCTGTATCAGGAGCCAGGGAAACCGCAGTGAACAAAGCAAACGTCTTGGAAGCGAGGTTCACTCAAACGATAAACACATATGGAGTGGGCAAAAGTTGGTTCACAGTTGTTCGTATGGAAAATAATATCATAAATAATAAATAATAATGCAAGAAATAAACTCAGTTTCACATGCTCACAACTGTAAATTTACTTTTGCCCTACCTTGTATGTAACATACATACTGTGTGTATAGATTTTCCTCATTATAAAATGGGACACCGTAAATGTGCTTTAATATTCATTCAGTTTAGAAAATCTGAAAACTCCCAAAAATAGAAAGAAAAAGAAGAAAAACCCATCAGCTTTAGATTCATGATCCAAAGAGAGTTGTGTTTTATAGCTTTGTATAATACCTTGCAGCTGTTTATTTATATATAGTTTTATTTTACTTTATGAAGTCATGAGCATACTGAAAGCATAGTTTTGCCTTCTTTTTATTGCACAAGTAATACAAACAGAAAACATAAAAACAAAATCCCTTGTAAATCTTCTACTCACAATTAATCACTGCTAATCTTTAATATCATATATCTTTTTTTTTTTTCGAAGCTAGAAGTCTGGGATCACACTGAAACATGTCACTCAGTAAATAATTGTGAATTCCTACTATACCTCTGTTGATAATTGTAATTGCATACCTCATTTCTGTGGCTGTAGACTTGGTTGTCATGTGCATTCAGCATCACAAGATCAGCTGGTCTCCTTTTCTTGGGCATTAGGATATTTCCAATTTTTTATTTTTATCAGAACCGAATGAATGAAGCAAACTGTTTGTACATAGCCTTAGTTATCTGAATATAATTTTACATTGTTTTCATTCACTCATATTTTAACTACATTAAAATGTTGATCTCAGTTGTCTTGGATGGTATTCTGTGAGATCATAATTTTGTTTTTATACTTTTTTTCTCTAAATGTTTTGCAACAAACAGGTTTTATTTGCATAATCACAACATCATTTAAAATTATGCCATGCAAAAATTTCCAGATTACTACAGTTTTCATTATGATCACCTTTTATGGCTACCTGTAGTTCCATCTAGGGGATAGGCCATTCACCTGACCGTTCCCTATCCTTGGCCATTTGGATTGTTTCCCCAACTTTTTCAAGGTCGTTACACAGGAACCCCACTCCAGAGAGCTTTCACCCCTTTGGTACATCCTGCCAAACTGCTTTCCCGAAAGGATGTTCCAGTTTCCACTCCCGCCAGCAGCGTGTGGGAATGCCCGCCCAGCCGCCCTCCTCTCCCGGAGACGGACGGTTCAGGCCCCTGGACAGTCGCCTCTCTGCCAGGAGGGCAGGAGAGAGCAGGAAATGGCTTTGTCAGCGATGCCAGCATGATGACCCCAGGCCTGGAACCTCAGGAGTGAGTTTTAACAAACCCGGTTTCCAAAACAGAACCTGCAGAGAAAAAGAAAAGCAAGCAAGCAGGGAAAAACACTCTCTGCCACAAAAAACACACACATGCACAGATTAAAATAATATTTGGCACTTAGATCGCACTTTTAAAATTCTTCAAACACTTTATAAACACGAGCTAATTAATTAAGCCACCTAAATCTGGCTGCAGTTGGTGGAGAGAACTTAAAGGGGCGGGGAGAGGGTGGGGGACAGCCCTCCACGGCTCCAGATTTCACTGTCACGTGCCCGGGTGTGATTGCAGGCCTCCGGCGGCTCCACCAGAATAGCCCTGCTCCGACACGCCGCACGGGCTCTGCAGCCTCCTCCCCTGCTCACACCGCTCCCCTCGCAGCTGCTGACTCACAGCCCCGCGTGGTGTTATTGGTGACGATAATAATAACTGCCATGCGTTACAGGCACCTGCTGCGGGCCAGGCGCAGTCCCAGGCTCCAGGCTTGTCCGTCGCAGCTCCATTAAGAGACAAGGAAAGAGGCTCAGAGAGGCGATGTGCTGGCGAGCAAGTGAAAGCCCTCCTTCCCTCATTCATCTGAGCGTGCATTCAGCACGTGGTTACTGAGGGCCTGGTGTGTGCCAGACACTGTTAAAGACAGGGGTTTGGAAAGAGCCCCTTGTGGATCCTCCATCTTTGCTGGGGCACGTGACAATCCAGAGAAAATCAAGTATACAAATAACATATCTGTGATCCTAGTGGGAACAGAAACTAAAATGTAACCAGCATCCATGCAGCAGGCACCTATGCCCAACTGTGGCATGGTCCTCATGACTATTGTGGGGGCGGAGGGCGGACAGCCACTTTACGGAAGGTGGAGTGGAGGCCCAGGGAAGGCGGGTGCTGAGCTGGCTAAGGGGCCTTGGGGGCCCAGCCTGTGCTGCCTCCAGCTGGCATTTCCAGTTCACCCAGTCTCCAGCTGGAATGCAGACCCACTGGGACTATTCCTGGCTGGATGCTGTTGGCAGTTGCTGGCACTGCGCCCCAGATGTCTTTGGGTCACTGCTGGCTTCTCTTGGCCTCCTCCGTGTGTCTCTCACACGCCTGGCCACCTGCTGCACCCTGAGCCCCTGACCTCTGCTGACTCTGGTTTCTTCTCTGCACCTTAGAGGCCTGGCTGCCCTTAGACTACCAGTCAGAGTCCATGGCTCACCTACCGTGAGAAAGGGGCAATCCCTGGCCTGGGAGTCAGGGCTGGGACAACAGGCAGGAGGATGAGTGGTCTGTCCTGAGGCCCTGGGCTTGCCCCAGTGTGGACAGATGGAGTCCACGGGCCTCCCTTCCCTCAGACGCCCTGCCCCTGCCAGTGGGGTGGTGCCAGGCGCCTGGCTGGTGGGCAAATGCATAAGGTCTACCTCCTGCCCAGCCAGAGCCAGAGGGCCTACTCGGGGCATCAGCTGCAACCCTGTCTAATGTACAAGGCAATGGTGGCTCAGGTCAGGACAGGGCAAGGTCACACTGTGGGTGAGTGGAGCACCCAGGCAGAGACCAGATGGTCTAACGGCACCTATAACAGGCTGCCACCCCTCCATGTCTCCATCTTTCCATCTTTCTTATTCTTTCCTCCCCCTCACTGTCTCCCTCATTCTCTCACTCTGTCTCCCTCTGCCTATCTCTGGAGAAAGAGAGAGCATCTCTCTCTCTTCCCCCACCCCCCACCCCAAGGTCTTTATGATCCGTCCTTTCTCCCCACCCCCAACCTTCTTCACAGTCAGGGCTCTGGCTGTGACTTGCTCTGAGCACCTGCAGCACATCTCACAGCATCTTCGCCTGCCTGTTCCTCCTCCTGGCTGTGTCCTCCCCTCTGCCATCTCCTCTGCCCAGAATCTGTCTCATGTGCCCCAGTCCTCTCCAGTTTTGGGCTCAGACCCCTCCCCACCACCGACCTCCAGGACTCCTTCCAGCTGCCCAGTCCAGAGCCCTTGAGGCCCGACCTTGTCCATGTCTTGTGTGTCCCCAGCATCCAGGACGGCCTGGCCTGCAGCAGCATCAGCATCAGCGAGGGTTTGTGGAAGTGAAGTGTCAGAAACAGAACCTTCCTCATTTATTCATTGTATAATGACAGTAGCCTCCCCTGTGCCCAGCTTGGTGCTAAGTGACTTAAACCAGAAGACTAGGGGTATCTGCCCATCTCATAAATAAGAAAACTGAGACTCAAAACCAATGGATAAAGTAGGTTACATATAAATAAAAGGTGAGCCAGGTTTCCAACTAGATCAGGTGGCTTCAAAGACCAGGTCCTTCTGTTTGACACTGTCCTGGCCCAGACTTGTTGGTTGGTTCCTACCAGAGACACATCAAAATGGGGTCATATAACTGTGTGACAGATGAGAACACCAAGGCTGAGAGGACAATAAAGGGTCCTGCCCACCTAATGGGAGCACTCACATTCACGTGGTACTTGGCAGCATCAAGCGCACTCGTAAGAGTTCCTGTTGGATCTTCTCGGCGGCCCAAGTGATGGCCAAAGTCACGCTGTAGTAAGCACTGAGCCAAACTCAAGTTCTCGTAGTTCACCGTTTCTCAGCCTACAGGAGCCGCAGCTGCTGAGTCTGGCTTCCCTCCTGGGAGCTGGCTTCCCAGGCCAGGCCTGAAACAAAACCTAAATCCCCTAGAGAGCCCCTCACACACTGCACACTGCACCCACCTCTGAGCCTTTGCCCGTGCTGTTCCTTCTGTTAGGAACACTGTGCCCCTTTTTTCCTGCTGAATTCAGATTTGAATTCAGAGCCCAGTTCAGTCATGACACTCCCGGAGAGAGCTCAGGACCTCAAATGCACTCTCTGCCACATCACTTAACCTCTGTTGGTTTCATCATTTGCAATAGGCCCTCACATTATAGGTTCATTGTGAAGGTCCCATGTACAACACATGCCATGTGCTGAGCTCGAGGTAAGCCGTTTTTAACAAATATTGACAAAATCTACATGATCACGCATGGATGAATAAACAACTGCTCTGTGCTTTCCTGCAGGAGGGACAGGTGAGGAGCTGCAGGTGATTCAGCCTGACATGTCAGTGTCGGTGGCAGCCGGAGAGACGGCCACTCTGAGATGCACCCTGACCTCCATTAACACCGTGGGACCTGTCATGTGGTTCCGGGGGACAGGGCCTGGCCGGGTGTTAATCTACGATTTCAAAGGAGGCCTCGGCCCCCGAATAACAACGGTTGGAGACCCCACGAAGAAAGACAACATGGACTTTTCCATCCGCATCAGTAACATCTCCCCAGCAGACGCCGGGACCTACTACTGTGTGAAGTTCCGCAAAAAGGACACTGACAACGTAGAGTTCAAGTCTGGAGCAGGCACTCAGCTCACCGTGAGTGGTGAGTAGAATGCGGGATCCGTTGTCCCTGGTGTGTAACAACAGTCGGTAACACATTAGTTCTTCGAGCAACAACTAAGAATCCGCTGTGGCAGTGGGTGCTCATAGTCAGGATCTGATCCCTGGTCTGCTTTCGCCCCTTCTGCAGGTCAGGGGAGTGAGGCCTGGAGAGGCCAAGCTGTCTGCTCAGGCCCCACGGCTGGTAGTGGGTGGGAAAAGTCTGGAACCCTCTTGCGTGACTGCCCAGCCCCTGCCTTTTCCAATCCTGTCCAGCCTCTTAGTTCCAGGCATGAGGGAGCTGCAGGTCTGAGTGACTTGCCCGTCACAAGGTCAGACCTCACCCCGGCCCGCAGAGAGTGCTCCCCTCAGTCTGGCCGAGCCCCTCCACCCCTTACCGACACTCCCTGAGCACCTGCTGTGAGCCAGGCCCTGCTCTGGGTGCTGTGGGAGCTGCCGTGAACTAAGCAGGCAAAGGCCCTTCCCCTATGAAGCTTCCTTTCTTCCCTCCAGTTGAGAGAAATGCATGCAGGGCAGGGAGGGGAAAACATGTTGCTTTATTTCCTCCTAAGAAGCATCACGTGAGAAGGAATCCCTAAGGGGCACAGACCCCCGTTTACTCCGACAGCCCTGCTGGGAGGAGGGCTCAGGGGCTGGGTGATCACTGTGGGTCTGTCTGACAAACTCCCTTTATTTCAGGGACATAGTCACACTGTCACTGAAGCCTCTGAGCAGAGTTGGGTCATCTTAGGTTGTCCTCCACCCCGGGAAGAGGCTCCCTGTGTAGGTGATTTTGGGATCATCCCATGGAAGCAGCAAAAATGCTTATTTAAGGTTTTCAGCCCAGGATCCTGAAACCTGGAATGTCAGCCCACAACAACCTTTAGACCGTCCTGCCTGAGCACCCCAGGCACAGATGGGCATTTCAGGCCAACAGGTGGCAGGGGCCTTCCCACAGTCTCTTGGCCAGTGCCTGAGGGGATCGTTCCAGAGCCCTATCTGATTCCAGGCCAGCTACTTCTTGCCCTGACTTTGGACACTCTTTCCATCAAAGAGTCTGGTGCGTGGAAGCACTCAATAAAAACTCACTAAAACAAACCTTGAAACTTGGAGCCAGCATGTCTCCTTTCCATCAGTTTCTCAAAGGTGCACATGCCGCTCACATTCAGACCCTGAGGCCCAAGCTGATTGAAATCCTCTCCCAACCTTCAGCCTCGTCACCCCAAATCAGCAGCTAGAGCTCCCCCAGGTTCAACCGCTGCTTCAATCTCTAGCACATGGATACAATATCGTTCACTGACCGTCTGCTGATGGATATGAGTTGTCCCCAACCTCTGGCTATTAAAACAGTGATGGAGGGGGTAACCCTGCATCCCCTTGCTCAAGAGGGTGATGCTCACTGGAGTTGGCATTGCCACATCAGAGGGTATGTGTGCATTTTAATTGCCAAATTTCCCTCCTACATGTGGTAGCAATGGAATCCCCCCACAACCCCTGGACATAGGCAGGGAGGATGGATTTATCCTGAATTTTCAAATATTACAAAAGGTCCCCAGTGGTGCCTCCCTAGCCTGGGCCAGCACAGGAAGTAAGTGGCTCCATCTTGGGTCTGCTGCCCGCTGGCAGAGCGCTCGTTCCTCTTCCGCAAGCTGCCTGCCCAGAGGACGCCCTGGATGAGAAAGCGGGGAGGCGGGAGGGGGCCGGGACCATGTCTTCATCGTGGCATTGACTTTAACCAGAGCTGTCAGGGAGGGGCCATCTGTTGCTCCTTTTACAGTTGAGGACACTGAGGCTCAGAGAGGGGTCCTGACCTCAGCAGGATGAGGAGACAAGATCTGAACCCCAAACAGCCTGACTCACAGCCCCTGCTCTCTGCAGCGCCCACTGTGCTTGTCAAAGTGCGCAGGCAGCTCCAACCCTCTTCTTTAAAATCTTGTATTGTTCTGGCCTTCGCAATACCGTTAAAAAGAAAGTCCTATGTGGGGATGTGGAAATAGTTTTACAACCCAGATGAGACAGATGCTCAAATGTCCCCTGATGTGCCGACCCTGCTCCTAACAACGTGGCTCAGCATATAGAAGCATTCGGGGTGCATCCCCCCCATTGTTGTGGGGTTTGTCCCTCACTGAGCGCCTGTGGACAGTGGCCTGGACAGAGCAGAGAGGGGCCGCCGCACCCCCAGAAACGCCATGCACAGTAATCTGGGATCTGCAGACTGAGGATGAGGAGGAGGGACATTTCCCAGAGGGTACTGAGCGCCTAGTGAGCAAGAGTTCATGTCCTAGACCCAGCTGTCAGGAGCCCTCGTCTCCAGCTATTGCTAGAGGGTCCCCAGGCCTGGGCACCCAGAGGTGACCCCTCCCTGCAAATTGCTCGAAGTCAGGCATCCCTGAGGCGGTCAGCCTCAGGCTCCTGCAGGTGTGGCACCTGCTGTATAGATGGACATGAAGCTTGGGGTTCACAGGAAGTTTCCTGGGACAGAGTGGCAGGCGGGAAGAGGGTCCCAAACCTGTTTTCTCATCAGTAAAATGATGATGACCATGGACTCCTTTCGGGGAGTGGAAAGACCTGAGCACAGAGCATCACCTGCAGGAAGGGGAGCCCCGCCAACCTTCACGGGATGGTCTGAACATACAGCGAGCTGCGTGGTCTTTGCAAATCTCAGCTTCCCTGGAGTCCTCAGTGTCCCCATCTGTGAAGGGGTGATGATCCCAGCTCCCGTTCGGGGGTCTGTGAGGGTAGGAGAGGGTGTCTGGGAAGCCCCAGATGGGCGGTTCAGGACGTCAGGGCCCAGTGGGTGAGCGCATGGGCCGAGCCCCCTGCCTGGGCTCACATCCCAGTTCTGCCACTTTCTGGCTCTGTGGCGTCGGACGCATCACTCCCCACACGGTGCCTCGGTGTCCTCAAGTCAGTAACAGCACTGACCTCACAGAGCAGCTACAAGGACTGAATGAGGGGACACATGCGAAGTGCCTGGCAGCAGTGCCTGGTAGGTAGTGAATGCTAGACGAATGGGAGCTATGACATGCCAAAGACATAGGCACTTGAAGGGGCCACTTTCGTTTCCAAGTCCCAATATAATGGGGCTGGAGGTGGGGTTCCGTGCCTTTCCACCTTGGCTCCTCGCTGGAATCACCTGGCTCTCTCCTACGAATTCTAATTTAATTGCTCAGATGTGGGCCTGGCAGCTGAATTTTTTTGACTATCCAGAGGCTGCTAGTGCAGAGCCAGGGCAGAGAGCCCTGAGCTAGATGTTCTCTGAGGTCACTGAGGAAACCTTGTATTTTTTTTCCCCTGAGAAAGGTGCCCCCCCCCCCCCCCGCTGCTGGGGCTGTGAGAACATGACCTTTGGGAGGTGCGGGTGCTTCAGAATAGCATGTGCCTAAGACAGCTCCTCAGAGGCCCAAGGAAATGAGCCCATGTGGAGGGGCAGGGACACCCTCCCTCAGAGCAGGCCAGGGCTGAGAGTGGCCCCCTGCTTTCTTTAGGCCTGAGGAGGCGCAGCCCGGACACTTTGTCACATCCGAGCTCCATGGCTGGCGACACCTTCCCATCTTAAACACCTGCGTGCCTAAGCAGGCCCGGGATTCCCCGCGAACACTCGCTGCCCAGCCCCAGAGCCCTTCCTGCCCCAGCACACCTGCTTGTCACTGCCGAGATCTGCTCTCCTTTTTCAAAATGCTTCCAGCTTCTGTAAAGAATTAATCTGCAGGGAAACGCTTCAGATCTCCCATGTGTTTTGAAAGTCAATTCGTCAAACTTATTTCCTGAGGGGATCATTTAAAAAAAGAAAAAGAGAGAGAGAGAGAGAGAGAACCATAACTTGGTGTTTCTCTGCTTTCTTCACCTGGGTTTTCCATGCAGCTGTGGGGGGCAGGATTTAAGACTTTTCTTGGTGTTTCTACTATGCTTTTTACTTTTCCTTCTTACTGCCTAAAGAACAGGTGGTTTCAGGACCAGAAAGACCAGATATTATGGTAATAGTCATAGGGATTATTTATTAAGCACCTTCTCTATGCCAGGCTCTGTGTTTTACTTACATCCTCATTTCTCTTACCAGGGTGGTGTTTTGACCCACTTCAGTCACTGGGGCTCAAAGATAAAGAACAGAGGTGCTAAAATTAATCAGCCCTGTGCATGGTGATGAGCCCTGCCCGGTGCTCCCTGGGCGCCCTTGGCCAGCCGGGTTCCTCTCTCAGCCTCATCCCATAAGTGAGCCCGCCTGGCGCCTGCCTGCAGCCTGGTGGGAGGATGAGCAGCTGAGGGCCCAGAGGCATCAGTGCATCGTCAGGAGCCCAAGGGGCTCTCGGTCTATGGTAACTGATCCCAGCGTCCCATCCCTGTGGTGACATCCAGGCTGCTAGGGTTTGTATGACGTAGTCACGTGAAACCCCCTTACCTGTGTCCTCAAAATGTTTGCTGAGTTTTAGGAAACAAGGTAGACACTTACAGATGCACAACCTTGTTAGTATTTGCTGTCTGCCCGCTGTTAGAGAAGGTGTTAGGTAGTGTTAACAACTTTGAGAGACCCTACAGAATCTTTCTATAAAAAGATACTGCTCTCGCTTTGGATTCTATGGTGTGAGGGTGCTTTCAGGAGGAGGAGCCCTGCCTGCCTCATCGGCCTGTGTCTGGGTCTCTCCTCATGTAATAACGATTGAGAAAGTGAGTCAGAGGGAGCAGGTTGTGGGGCGAGGTGAAAAGGGTGAAGGGGTTAAGGAAAAAAAAAAAGCTCATAGACACAGACAGCAGAAGGGTGATTTACCAGCAGGAAGGGGGTGGGGCAGGTAAAAGAGGGTAAAAGGGAGAGTAACGGTGATGGAAGGAGACTTGAGTTGGGGTGGTGAACCCACATTACGATATTCAGATACTGCATTACAGAATTGTACACCTGAAACTTACATAATTTTACTAACCAGAGTCACCCCCATAAATTCAACAAATAAATAAATAAATAAACTAAATCACATTTGGCTTTCTCGGCACTCAGTAAACTTTATGTTCAACCCAAAACTGGATTCAACCCAAAATCTGAATTTGAGAAGACCCCAAGTTGAGAAAAACATTCCATCACCCATCTCTCTCAAACTCATGGGTTGGCACAGATTAGACCACACTGGAATATGTATAGAAATAACGAAACCTATGGAATAAAGTCATAAAGACCTGGAGGGAGAGATCTGGATATAAATTCAGTCCAAATTCAAAATAGATGTGTGCTTGCTTATTTTTGTGAAGCATCTTCTGTTTTCCGCGAAGCCAAACAGCCCCCGTTGCCCGACCTCACCCTCCCTGCAGCCGGGGAAGGGGAAATGGCTGCCGTCCCCTTTCACCGGTGGGACAGGGATGTGCCCGGACGCCCCTCTCCTCGGCTGCCAGGCTGGTTCCACTGTCATGGGGGTCCCGTACCCACCGCTTCCCCTGCGTTTACTCTGCCCCACTGTCGGGGAAGCTGGGAAGGTTCCCCGGGGAGGCCCGTGAGGAGAGTTAACACAAAGAGGGAGTCCGCTCAGTCACGTTGTTCCTGAGCCCAGGCTGCTGGGAAATCACCGGGGGAGGAAAGCAGGTGCACTTTGCACTCAGGGCTGGAGCTGCTGTGGGCCCTGCCCCTCACGCAGAGGTCCCCTCTGGGGGCCTGAGAGTCCTGCGCTGTAAGATGAGGACAATGACACGTCCCACCAGCATTATTAGAAGGAGAAAAAATAATATATAAGAAGGTTCTTGACAGTGTCACATGCTAATCGTTAGTGCTGATGATCACAACCATGCTTATTGTTCGTTATGCTCCTTTTAAAGCCAAACCCTCGCCCCCCGTGGTATCAGCCCCCACGGGGAGGGCCGCACCTGGGCAGACGGTGAGCTTCACCTGCGAGTCCCACGGCTTCTCCCCCAAGGACATCACCCTGAAATGGTTCAGAGACGGGAATGAGCTCCCAGCCTCCCGGACCGCCGTGGACCCAGAGGGAGACAGCCCTTCCTACAGCGTCTCCAGCACGGCCAGTGTGCAGCTGGCTGTGGGGAATGTCCGCTCCCAGGTCATCTGCCAGGTGGACCACGTCACCCTGCAGGGGGGCCCTCCTCTTCGTCAGACTGCCAACCTGTCTGAGGTCATCCGAGGTAGATGTCCCTCACCCCCAGCACTTACGGGGCTCCCACCCTCCAAGCCTGTTGCTCCTCTTGCTCTTTGCTCCAGAGTGTGATTTTCATGGAACCTAATTCCTGACAGTCCTTCCCTTCACCAGGTCCCCGGATGTGCCTGTCATTCACCACTGTTCAATGGCAGCTGCCGGGTGAACAGCTACCACTGTACTCGGTAGTTTCACCTACTTTACCAAGAGCAACTCCAATAACTGAGCACCTACTATAGGCCAAGCAGCTATGGGCTTGGTGATTTCATTTATTTTGCTATAGTTATTATGTTCTAATTGCATGCTGGGCTGTGCTGGTTGATTTCACTCATATTACCCTAATAGCAGCTACCAGTTCTTGAGTACCTACTATGGGCAGGGCACTGTGCTTAGTGATTTCATTCACATGCAAAGAGAACCCTGACTCGGAGCACCTGTGCATACCTCGCCCTGTCCTGAGTTGCCCCCTTGCTGTGGCGGGGGAGCTAAATAATGGAGCCCCGCTGTGATCTGTCTGTTCCACAAGGTCAGAGCTTCTGCCCTGTGCTGTTTCAGTTCCGCCCACCTTGGAAGTTACCCAACACCTCATGTCAGAGAACCAGGTGAACGTGACCTGCCAGGTGAAGAACTTCTACCCCCAGCGCCTACAGCTGACCTGGTTGGAGAACGGAAGCGTGTCCCGAACAGAAACACCCTCGACCCGCGTGGAGAACAAGGATGGGACCTTCAGCTCGAGGAGCTGGATCCTGGTTAATTCATCCGCCCACAGGGACGTGGTGCTCACCTGTCAGGTGCAGCACGATGGGCAGCCGGCGGTCAGCAGGAACCTCACCCTGGAGGCCTCCGCTCACCAGAAGGGCCTGGGCCCAGGTGAACCCTCTGGTGAGGCCTCCACCCCAACTGACCCCGCTAGATTGAACTTTTATCCTTTTTAATGTTGTAATTATTCATTCATGCTTACTCTAGAATAATCCAGCAGTCTGTAGATAGAAAGTAGACCTTTGAAGTGAGCTTTCCTCCCCCAAACCCCACACTCCATGGTCACCACTGGCAAGAGTCTGGTACATATCTTTATAGATCTTTTGACATCAATGTATGTTAAAGAAAGAGAGAGGGAGGGAAGCTGTCCTGTCCCACGTCCTCTTGCTTGCTTCACCCAGCAGTCCCTGCGCTCACCGTCCACGTCAGCCCCTCCTTCCTTCTTGCTCTCTCTAACCTCTGCCCAGTGCCCTGGCTGCCACTACGAGCCTGCCCCCCCGGGAGTGGGCGGGGGCTTTGGGCTGTGTGTGGCTTTTCTCAAGTAGAATCACTGCTGCAGTAAGTGTCCTTGTACATGTTCTGTTACTCTGTAGGACGATTTTCCAAAGTGTATTTCTAGGCCAAAGTCCGTACTCATTTAAGATGATGGTAATGCTGCGTCTCGTGGGAGAGTTCAAGGTGTCAGGGTGTCATATTCTCAGGCCCCTTCCAATGCGTTGTCATGGGTCCCTCTTTCTTCAAATGGCAGCACATAGTTGGCATTTTGGTGCCACTGTGGAAGGTGCCATCATCTGTCGTTAGCATGGCTGTGCCTTCTATACAGCAGGCCCTTTGAATGGAGTAGAATAGAGGCCATGTTTTTCCTCCATGCACCGTCAAGGGAACAGAGAGCTCTAAAGAAGTCCTGTGACCCTGTCAAGTTGTCCCTTTGATGTCACTGGTGGCTGGCTTTCATAGGATGAGTGCTGCACTAGGACACAGGATGTACAGACCAACCTCTGGCTCGGTGCCAGCCTTGCCGGGTGACCGTGGACAAGTCAGTGCCCCTCTCTGGGCCTCTCTGCTTACACGTGGCAGTGCTGAAAGAGATGAGCTCTGTGGCCCTCGCTTTGAGTCTCAGCTGCTAGGAACCCTGGCAATGCAGCTTCAGGACCTGGCACACAGCCTAGCACACAGTAGGCATTCAGGAAATAAGACTTAGAAAGAATGAGGGAGTGAATTGGTCGTTTGGTTAGTGACTGAGCTGTCCTCAGAGCTGTCCGGCGTAGCAAAGATTAGTCTTGGCCCCCGTGACACAAGAGGAAGGCAGCGTGTGGAGGTTTAAATGACTTGCTCGAGGCCACACACCTTTGACCTGAGCCCAGGTTTCTGCAGCTCGGAGCCCTGCCCCTGACCACCCACTCTGCTCCAGCGTGGGATTCCCTCCGGGTGCCCGGGGGTCTGCCACAGCCTTGTCTTCATTTCAAGTGTCCTGGGGTCAGAGCCCCTACGCCCAGGTCCCGGGCACTAATCAGCGGACAGCCCCTGAGAGGTCTCCAGCGTCCTCTGGTCACCTGCATGTCTGCCACTCCCCACTGTCCCCATTGTGCCTCGGGTTTGGGATGGACCTGTGCCACCACGGTGGCCACCCTGGTTCACTCAGATGAGGAAGAACGTGTTTCCGCCCCTCAGGGGTGATGTCCGTGCCATGTCCTGCAGCCCGGCCTCCACTCTGGCTCCAGCACCAGACAGTTTTCCCCGCCCCTCGGCGCGGCTTGGTGCTACCGGGGTTCACCCCCGGGGGGACCTGTGTGCAGAACCATGAATGTGCCCGTGTGGCTCGAAACGTCCGAGAAGACCCAGCCAGGTGTCCTCAGTTAATGACGCCCGTCTAGTGGTCCAAAGAATCAATGAGTTGTGATTTTCTTTTTTTTAAATTTGCATACATGAAGCCTCTATTCTGTCTTGTCTCTAGATAAGAGTAACCACTTGAATAATGTCTTCATTGCGGTGGGCGTGGTGTGTGCCTTGCTGGTGGCCCTGCTGATCGCTGCCCTCTACCTCCTGCGAGTCCGGCAGAAGAAAGGTGAGTGGATCCCCTGCTTCCTCCCCAAAAGTTTGCCCCTGGGCTGTCCTTTCCAGAGGGAGGGGCCACGGGAAAGGGCTCCGCATAGCTCAGGCCCTGAGGATGTCCAACTTGTCGCAGTCATGAGCAAGAGGGCCAGAGGCAGCAGTGCCATGGCTGGCGCGACCGCTTACCCAGGCTGGAACCCGGGGGGGTCCCTCCGGGGCCTTCCCTTCATGGGTGCCAGACGGCCACCTCTGCCCCAGGCCTCCCCTCTTCATGGGACCACTGTCGAGGTGGGAAACGGAACTGCCAGGGTGGCAAGAAGGTCTCAGGGAGAAATAATATTCCCAGGAACCCCTGGCAAACTTTTGCTTTCTTCTTACCTGTCCAGGCTACGTGCCCAGCTCATAGGCAGGAGGCTGGAAGCGGGTAGGGATACCACCCTCCCCACCTGCATGTCTGTTGGGAGGAATAAGTGGGTGACTACATGTAAAAGGTTAGGGAAGTACCTGGCACACAGCAAGTGCTCAATAAATGTTAGCTCCTGTCATCAACATTGTATGTGTGGCCAGAAACATGAGCCACCTCCCTGGAAAATTCCCCTCACAGTGGCCGGTGGGTACATGTTCAAATCCAGGACATCGTGGCCGTGTGTAAATGTGTGTGTGGTGTGTAGTTGTGTAGTTTCTGCTATGGCAAGGCCTCTGACGTTGGAGTCAGACAAAACAGGGCTGTTACAGGTTCTAAACAATCAGTTTGGTCCCCACAAACCTCAGTTTCCTCACCTGTAAAATGGGTATAGCAGTGCCTGAGTTAAAGGATAATTATAAAACCAAAGAAGCGCATGTGAAATAACATCGCTAACACATTCTCAGTCCTCAGAAAATACAAGTTCTCTTTCCTAAATCTCGAAGGAAACAATTTTAAGCCAGTATGTCTGAAACTTACTTGACTCTAAGTGATAGAAATATATTTCGTGTTTGAACCTGACACATACACACCCCTAGAGCTAAAATTAGAACTCTGGTATTTTCTTTTTTGCCATCTTCTATCCTAAGTTCTCTTTAAAACGCTGGTTGTGAACTACGACGTGCCACAGCCCGCGAAGTGCGAGGTGCTGTCCTTAGGTGCCTCTGTGCACCCGACCCCCGGGCTGGGCTCGAGGGGGCATGTCGCGCATCAGCCCCACGTCTCTTCTGCACCCCTCGCCTCTGCCCCCAGCGTGCCCCTCCCTCCTGCGCTGGCTGGAAGGACGTAGCTATGAGCACTGGCCGAGCCTCTAGCTCGCCATCCGGGAGGGCCTGGCATCTCTGGAATCTGGAAGGGCTTCTGCAATCATTTACCCAGTGGGTTCCCTAAAGCTCCTGGAGAGCCCACACAAGAGGACTCCTTGCCCGCCAAGGGTCACAAGCCAGCCCACTGGATGGCGCGTTGACGACTATTAGTGAAATCCCAGCCGCTCGTCCAGAGCCTCGTCCCTGGGCACCATGTCCCTGCCAGCACACATGAGCTTGTTACTGGAGACTTAGGCATCAGCGTCCAGGCGTTCCAGAGGGGGAGCGGGGCCTTGGACAGCTGCAGACATGGGTGCGGGTCACCCAGCCCCTGAGTGATGGGTCTGTGTGTGTGCAGAGTCCAGCTCTCAAACATAGGCTCCAGCAACAGTGACAACCAGCACTCACTTGGCCCTTCTGATGTGTCAGTCACTGTTCTCAGCATGGACTTCTGTAATATTATTAACCCCATTTTACAGACGAGTAAACTGAGGCAGGGGAAAGTTGCAAAACTTGCTCAGGGCCTCATACCTGGTAAGTGGTGGGGTCAGGATTCAAACCCTGGCATTGGTTCTCAGGGCTCAAGTCTGCACATCACTTCCACCCTAGGGAGATCCTTGGTCCCTGGAAGGGCCCACCCATCTTCTACCTCAATCCACTGAAATACCTTCATTTCAATTCTACCGGTTACCAGCTGTGTGACCGTAAGGAGTCACCCAGTCTCTTTGATGTCAAATGGGGGTGATCAGTCATTGAACCCCCTGAGACATCTTGTGTCCCAGCACTTTGCAACCATCGGCCTCCATTCAGACGTTAGATGCTGAGCTGCAACCTTCCCAAGTGGTACCTGCTCACCTAGAAACCTAGTACCTGCCCAGGCACCAAGCATTAGCCTGGCAGTGAGAATTTTTGCATTGCGGCAGCCTCCGGCCTGTTAACATGAGGTGTAGAGCACATTTGAGTGTGCATGTTGCTTTTTAATTACAATTTTGCAGTGAAATTCAAGTCAAGTGGTGGCAGAACCCCAGCGGCTTCTCTGCGGGATACCCCATAGCACAGGTTTAAAAATCTCTGTACCAGATGGACCCTTTCTTTCCTCCCAAGATCCTTTTTGAGAAAGCAGTGACATGAAAATAAATGAGTGTCCAGCCCAATCCTGTGACGTAGCTGAAATTCAAGCTCAAAGGGGAAAAAATGGCCCACCTAGGGTCAGGCAGCGAGCCCGGGGGTGGCCGGAGTGGGGTTCGCACCTGCTCCCCCAGCTCACAGCCCTGCTAGAGGCTGTTCTCCAGCAGTGAAAGGCCGGGGCTGGGACCAGGCTTGATGCAGGGCCTCAGCCGAGGACCGTGGCGTCACCCAGACCAGGGGCAGGGCAGGGGGCCCCTCCCAAGCTGAGGCTGCTGGGGGATCTGACCGTTGGCAACTCCCAGAGGGCAGAAAGCAGGAAGGCCGGCACAGCTCCTGGTCTCCCTCAGTGGGAGATAATGGAGCACCCCCTGGGTGGGCGTGGGGTGTCCTATGGTGGGGAGGATAGGATTTCAACCATGTCTCCCAATGTCACCAGAGACAAACCGTTGTCCACCCCACCCTCCACATTTACTGAGAAAAATATGTGTCCAGGTTAAGTAACTGGCCTTTGTTTCTTTTCTCTTTCAGCCAAGGGCTCCACTTCTTCTACAAGGTAAGTGCCTCCATGGGCTGGGGTGCTCTTGCAATTGTCATTGAGCCGCTTGACAGCCCCAGAGCTGAAAAGCATAATCCCCACTCACCGACCCCACACCTGTGCGCGTCAGTGTTTCTATGTCTTTCCTTTGTAAGCTCCTCATGCCAGGCCCATTTTTAATTACTGTCTCAAATAAAGGGATTTGAGGGGATTTCCGGGCCCAGAGGCACTGAATTCTTGCCTGCTGTCCACAGACTGCAAGACTCTTATGAAATCCTGTTTGGATTGTGGCAGAAGCCTCCTGCACACACCACCCCCAGATCCGAGTTGTATACTTTGCTCTTTCCTTCGTTCCTTAAATATTTATTGAGTACCTTGGCACGGGCGGCCCTGGGAACGCCGGGCAAGGAGGATGGAAAGCATCTGTGCCCTCCCGAAGCCCGTGCCCTGGTCAGAGGCTAAGGCGATGCCATTATGTCACAGATGGTGCCTTAGTTTGTTGACTCATGTTTTCAGTGATTTTTGCTGAGTCTCTATTATGTGCCAGCTCTGTTCTGGGTGCTGGGGATACAGCAGTGAACAAAAATCAGTCCAGACCTAAAGGGCATTCGGACACCGGTGAGAGAAGCAGCAGTAAGTGTAGAGGTCAAATGATATATGATGTCCTGTCAGGTGGTGACAAATCAGGCAGAGCAGAGGGGTGGAGGTTTAGGGCAGAGCCCTGAAGGTGTGTGCAGGGCTTGGAGCTGGGGAACTAGGGAGCAGAGGTGTGTGCAGGCAGGAGAGCGGGTGTGGCTAAGGCCCAAGGTGAGATGGGCCAGGAGGTGCAGAGGAGACCTGTGTGGCTGGGGCAGAAGGGACGAGAGGAAGGGCAGGAGATGCAGGTCCACGAGCTCTTAACCGAAGCCGTGCAGCCAGATGTGCTACTCATCCAGGCTTTTCAGCGTTAGGGAGGCCCCCGATGTTCACCCCAGCAGAATAGAAGCAGCACCCCATGATCTACTACATGGATATACCTGCTTGGAAATATATGAACGTCTGTACTAAGAGCAATAAATAAAAACCATAAATAGCTTCATGTTGGATTAGGTCAGGTTTTGCCACCCAATGGATTTTGCAGATCTTCCGATTTTTTACAGCTTTGTGGATCTCTGAGTTACAGAGCAGGAACTGAGGATCTGGGGCGGAGGCCCATGGTCCAGGGCGTGCGGCCGCTGGGATCCCGGGTTTTACTCCCAGGGGGATGAGGTGCCCTAGGAGGGAGATGATCTGCCTTCTGTTTGGGAAGGGTCATCCTGAGTGTCCTGTGAGGGCCTGGCTATAGGAGGCAAGGGTGGAGGCAGAGAGGCCAGGGAGATGGCTTCTGCAGAGGTCCGAGCAGATGGTGGTGGCCTCGGCCAGGATGGTGGGGTGGGCAAGAAATGGTCAGATTCTGGATGCATTTTGGATACGTAGCCAAGAGGACTTGCTGACGGATTGGATGTAGAGTCAAGGACAATTCCAAGGTTGGGGGCAGTGGGAGTGCTATGCGTGTGCCCACCCAGTATGCTCTTTTGCAAAGGCGAGACTTGGCTTCTACACTTTGCCTAAAAACCTCCGGTGGTTCTTGTGACCCTCAAGAGAATCCAGATGCCCTACTGAGGCCCTCAAGCCCCTCGCGGTCTGGCCCCTGCTGACATGGACAGTTTTACTCCTGGCCACTCCCCAGTGTTCACGTCCTGTGGCTCAGCCCACGCTGCGCTCCTGTCACTTCCTCCCTCAAGCCTCGCTCTCCTCCTAGCCCCATGCGCTGGCCCCTCTCCAGGACGTGCTCCCCACTGCTGCTCACTCACCACCCAGCGTCTCCGCAGCTCCAGGGGGCAGCAGTCACAGTGGGCTCTATGAACAGCGCCCCCTGGAGTTGTACAACATGGAAGCTAGAGTGGGCACCCCTCCTTTCACCTGGTTACCTCCTGCTCTTCCTCTGGGCTCCGCAAGGGCATCGTCTCCTCCAGGATCAGGAGCCCCTCACGTGAACTCTCCTGGTGCTCCTGCATTAACATCCTGGTGTGTTCTCTGCACTTGTGCCCAGATTAGACCCCATCCATCTGGAGGGTGGGATCATGTCCCTCATGTTCACTGCTCGTTGCTGCTGAACACGGCACCGGGCCTGGAATGCAATAGGTGCTCCATCCAGGTTTGTTAAATGAATGAGTGAATGCATGAGTGAATGAATGAAGCCATCCCAAACCACCGCAGCAACCTCCGTCTCCTCCTCTGATTCCCGCAGACTCCCCCTCTCAGTGGCTTCACGGCCGCAGATATGAAAGTATCTCTCTTTTTTGTTTTGTTTTTATTGTTGTCATTATTTTTCATTTGCCTTATCTCCCCAATTAGACAATAAGTTCTAGAAGAAAAGGGCGGTGTCAATAATAATAATGATAACAGCATCAGCAGCTAACATTTATTGAGCGCTCGCTGGGCCCCAGGAACCGATCTATGCCTTTGCCTCTATGAGCCCGAAGGTGATTTTAATTATCACAAAAACCCTATGATTTACTATTATCCCGATTTAATTGAGCAGTGGTTCTCAGGCTTGAGTGTGTAGCAGAATCCTCTGGAGGGCTCGTTAAAACAGATTTCTGGGCTCCACCCCCAGAGTTTCTGATGCAGAATTTGTATTTCTAACAAGTTCTCAGGTGGTGCTGATGCCACTGTTCCCGAGCCAGACTTTGAGAACCCCTTTCTTGAAAGTTTTTATTGTCCCTATGTGTGGTTGAGGAAACTGAGGCTCAGAGGAGTCATCTGACATTCCCCAGGTCCCACAACCAGGAAGTGCTGGCACTGCGACTCCCTCCCGATTTCTCTGACACTGAAGCTGATGCTCTTTATCTGCGCCCATGCCTCTTGCTGCCTATTTCTCCTTCCCCAGAGAAGCTTGCCGTTTTCTGCCTGTTTTGTATTTTTCCAGCGTGAGCCTACACAGGCTGCCGGGAGATCGCTTGCTCCCTTTCATCTCTCTAAACCAAAGAGATAGCTCGCAAGCGGTAGTGGTGGTTACCCATGTAGCCGCCGCTTCCGCTGCGCTGGCTGGGATCAGACGCTTTCTGGAGGACGTTGGCATGGGTAACACAGCGCACCGGGGAGGGTGCCAAAGGGATTGCTGCCGCTTTGAGCTCACAGGGCCCTTCAGGCTGCAGAGCCAGTGCAGGCACTGGCTATGTCCAACTCCCTAGGTCAGGGACATACATGCAGAACATTGTCTATAATCTTCCCCAGCTCAGATGACAGCAAAATGTGTCTGCTCCCTTAATTGGGCACTAGGGTTCATTCAGTTGGCCATTTGTTCACCTGTCAGACATTCACTGCATTTATCCTTGGAATATTTAGGGCTTCCCTGAGACTTTCATTTATTCATCTGATGGAGCCCAGCTCGGTGCCAGGCCTTAAGCTGAGGGATTGCAAAAGGGAGCAAAAATGACATTAGCCCCGGTCTCACGGCACTTTTGATCCGATGGGAGAGATGGTCATTCATTCATTCAGTTAGTCATTCCTCAATCTATATGTATAGCTTGCTAACAATGCACCAGCCCATTATTGGGTGTCAGGGCTCCAGTGGTGAAGGAGATGGGCCTAGTCCTTGCCCTCATGGAGACCACGGTCCATTGGGAGGCAGGTGACCGAACGAACTGGGAGGTTAATACACAGCGTGATGCAGGTGCTGACTAAATCAAATAAAGCTGGGTATGGGGCAGAGCGAGCAGTGGGGTACGGTGGGTGGTCCAGGAAGGCTTCTCTAAGGAGGTGACATTTAGAAGAATGTGGAAGGATGAGAAGGCACCAGTCATGGGGATATGTGGGGCAACAGCAGCCGGAGGACCAGGCGAAGGAACGGCCAGTGCCAGGACCCCGAGGCAGGAGCAGTTGGGGATGTCCTTGAACTTGGAGGAGGCCAGGGCAGCTGGAGTGCAGTGAGCCGGGGGAGAGAGATGGAGAACCGGGGCAGGGCACGTGGGCCTCACCCATCGGGATACGGAGGTGGACTTCACTGTATGGGGAGAAGGGGTTGAGTGTTTTGAGAGGAAAAATGATATGACATCATTTATGCATTTTACATGTGGAGAATGGTATCCAGAAGGGCAGGAACAGAAGCAGGAACATAGGCAGCAGGTACCTCAGGAATCTAGGGAGCAAGGATGGCGGAGGTGATGGAGTGGTTGGGTTTAATATGTATTTTGTGCAGCGTCAACAAACCTTGTGGTGGATTAGACATGGGTTGTAAGGAAGGGGAGAGGAGACACGGGGATGGCTTCCACTTCTTTAGCCCGCGCACAGGGATGCATCGTAGAGATAGGAGAGACCAGAAAAGAGACAGGCATGACACAATGGATAATTTTTTCCAGTCTGGAATATTGCTCTGAAAGAAAGGAACTGAGTGTTCTGAAAAAGGAGTCGGGGGGTTTAGTGAAGGTTTCTTGGAGGAAAGACTGTTTGAAACAGGATCTGAGGGAAGAGAGGGAGAGAACTAGATGAAGAGGCAAGGAAGACAGTGTGCAGAGGCGCTGGGGCAGTCTGACTGACGTTCATCCCACGTCACTCTTGAGCATTTTTTGAGCGCCCATATAGGAAGGAAGAATGACAGGCAGGCAGGCAGACACATAAACCAGATTGGAAGATATATAAGGAGGTTTGAATTGTCATGAAGACCCAGCCCAGTGAGCCCATCGCTGTCAGAGAAGCCTCCCCAAGGACATGATGCCTAGTTGAGTCTCGACTGAACACAAGTTAACTGAGAGAAAAAGTGGTCAAGAAGGTCATTCAAGACTGCTGTTGATACATAAAGTGTGTCGCATCTAGTAGTCCTCGCGAAATATTTGGTGGGTGAAGTCATGCATGATACGGCTTAGTTGGTTGGAGCATCATCCCATACACTAAAAGGTCGTGGGTTTGATTCCCAGTCAGGGCACATACCTAGGTTGTGGGTTCAGTCTGCAGTCGAGGCACGTGCACGATCGATGTTTCTCTCTCACACTGATGTTTCTCTCCCTCTCTTTCTCCCTTCCTTCCCCTCTAAGCATGTCCTCAGGTGAGGACTTAAAGAGAAATAAAGAAAAAGAAATATTTGATGAGTGGATAAGTGGGGAAATGAGGACAGAGCAGTGAATGAGTCGGAGGCGGGGGGGAGGTCAATAGGGGCCAGACCACATGGGATTTACGAGCAGGATGATGAGTTGGACTTGAACCAGAGGCACTGGGAGCCCTAGAAGGATTGAAAGCAGGTGGGATAGGGATAGATCTGCATGCCCTTCCCCGCCAGACAGTGTCCCTGCTCCTGGAGTGTCATTTCTGTGGCCACGTTGGGCCCATCATGCCCCAGAACTGCCTTCAGAGCCAAGTACTCATGCCACATCCATTAATAACCCCACTGCCAAGCCCCACTGCCCATTCCTGACATTATCCAGCTAATGTCCCCAGAGGTGCAGCTTGAGGATTTATACAACTCCTGCAGAACCAGAGGCTCTGCTTCGCTCCCCACCTTGATTACGGCCCTGCGGTGAGCCAAGCCACGGCCTCCAATTACAGAATCAAGTGCATGAATGGCTCCTTTGATTAACCAGGACACTTGGTCGTTCTCTCTTCTTTTTTTAATGAAAACACCTGGATGTGTATACTAAGGAACAGTTGGAGAATATGGGAAACTAAAAAGAAGGAAAAAATACCACCCAAAGATCACTGCTGTTAGCATTTTACTGTTTCCTTCCAGTGTTATCCACACATTTTTCATAATTGAGATCACTCCACTGAGAATTTTGTTTTTTCAGTTATCTTTTAATGTAATCATTTGCAATAAAAAAGAAACCTCTTCATAAGCCTTTTAAATCTTTATCTACGAGTCTATCCTGATTTCTGTAACCACTCCCAACTGGCAGAGCCGTGAGACGTAGACCTCCCTCCGCCCCTCCCCTGCCCTGCACCAGTGCCTCTGCGCATAAAGCATTTTTATATATTTTGAATTCCCCCAGATGCAATTGTGAGTCAAAAGATGAGGACACCTTCCAAGCTCTTGCTTGGGCTAGCCAAGCTGCTTCCCAAAAGGGTTGTACCACTGCGCCCCTCCCATCAGCAATATATGAAAATGTCAGTTTCACCATCTCTTCCCCCTCACCGAGTATTATAATTGTTGAAGATCCTTGCCGCAAAAGTAGCTAAAAAGTTCGGTAGTGCATTGCTTAAAATCCCTTTTTCGTGAGATGGACCCGTTTGTCCAAACACATGATATGCAGTGGTATTTCTGTTGTGAAACGCTCGGCCATGCCCTCCCCCCATTTAGGAAGTGGAACCTCAGTGTTATTCTTATCAATTTACATGAGCGCTTGAGATAGGGAGGATATTTTTATCTGTGTGTCTCTTTCCTTTTTAGGCTGCATGAGCCCGAGAAGAACGCCAGAGAAATAACCCAGGTACAGTCTTCGGTGAGATGCCCTTCCTGGGAAACTCGATGGTGTGATTTTCTTACACCAGCTGGGGTTGCAGATTCTGTTCTAAATTAAGACTCCTTTCTCAGGGTGGGAGGGTGCGGAGGGTGGAGGATCTTACATTCCTCACTTTCCCCTTGTTCTCTGCACATTCTCTCCCTCTGCTCCAGCCCAGGATGTCCGTCTCCACCTTCTTGACTCATTGCCACTCATTGCACAACTCCAGGGGGCGCCCTTCACAATGTGTTCTGTGTAAATGGAGTCAGGCTGCAGCCTTCCTTCCTGTGGATGGTGCCATCCTGCCTGCATGCACGTGGCCAGGCCTGTCCCTCCGCCGGGAGCACCTTGCCCAGCTCACTCCCAGTTCCTCCTTGGGCCTCTCCCACAGAGTAGCACACAGCGCTGCCAGTCTCCTTCTGATGGAAAGACCTTGTGTCTTTAGTTACCTCCTGTGAGGACACGCTTCCTCCAGCTGGCAACATCTCTCTGCCATTGCTGAGGAGATTTCTCAGGCAGCGTGGCTGGCCTACTTCCGAGAAACCTAGCCTTGCTCCATACCGGCTGACGCTGTCAGACCTCAGAGGCAGAGGGCTCCCCTGCGTCTTGTAACAAGACAGGCGCTGCCCTAAACCTGCAACAAGAGAACACCAGCTGTCCTTGACATTTCCCTGGCTGTTGGCATCATTTTAGAGATAATCCATTGAAGAGAATCGGGGCTGGTGAAAGACATGATGTTTGTAGGCCAAAATGTTGTGTCCTGCTCTCCTGACCCAGCGCGGCCCCCCAGTGGCCCTGGGTGCGAGCTCAGGGACCTAGAACAATAGGCAACTTCCAGGCATGGGAGAAGGGGACCTTCCCCGCGCCGGCCCCCCCCCCCCCCGTCATTTTACCTCCAGGCTTCCTTCTGGAACGTTCTGGGAAAAGAATGACAGAAAAAAGAGCTGATCACTGAACCCTGTACAAAATTCAGTCAGCGAAGACTTGCTGAGCTCCTACTGTGTGCCAGGCCCTGGGCAGTGAGCAGGGCAGTCCCAACCCAGCTGCTGTGGCGCTTGCAGCCTTCTCTCTGTGATTCCTGGCACCAGGTGCCAGCCCTTGCCATGGAGGGCATTTAATGTGGTTGATGTGGGTTTCCTAGAGAGAAGTGTGAAGTGTGAAGTGTGAACGCGCAGGGTGTGGGGCAGAGGAGCTGTGTGGTCAGACCACAGCCTTAGCATCCAACAGACCTTGGTTCTTCCCCAGCTGTGTGACTTTGACCAAATTATTTAACCTCCCTGGGTCTCAGTTTTTTCTCCTGTAAAACAGGGTACATTGTTCTTCCTGAGCAGGGCTGTGACAGGGCCTGAATGAGGTGCTCCAGGGGGCAGCATGGTGCTTACAACCGTCGGGAACGGGGACACAGTTGTCAGCGCGCACCAACCAGGAGTTACCCCTGTGGGCAGCTCCTCCCTGCTTCTGCAGCATAGGCGCCAGGCACAGGAGAAGCAGTTTATCATTCCTGATGGGTAATTTTAAGGCGTAGCTGTGGGTGGTAAGATTAGCACAGGGGAGATAAGTGTTAGGGTTCGGGTGGCTGACGATTACGGCCATTCATTGAACACACCTGCTCACTCAGTATGTGCCAGGCTCCATCCTGAGAGCTCTTTCCGATGATCTCACCCGATCCTCACAGCAACCCTGGCGACAGATTCGGTGATTATTCCCACTTTACAGATGGGGAAACTGAGGCCCGGAAAGGTGAAGTGAATTGCCCAAAACCTCTCAGCTAGGGAGAACAGAACCAGGATTCAAACTCCAGGCTTCTGACTGCAGCACCTTTTCCATCCACATAACTAGTCTCATTAACTTGTACCCTTATTCTCTGTCCCCCTGTCCCCAGCTTCACCCCGCATGAGGCTGAAGTTGTTGCCATTCATTCATTCATTCGTACGTTCAACACTGGCCTGGCTTCTTCTGTGTCAGCCTTGGTTTCTGTGTCATAACAAATGTCTAGCCAATAGTTGTTGAATAAACGACTAAATGAATGAATGTCCCCATCCACTGGAGGATCAGCATTTACTCAGACCCCCAGATAGACACAGTCCTATGTGGTGGGTGCTGCAATGGAGAAACATGGGCTGAGGGAACACAGAGAAGGATCCCTGGACCCGGCTGATGGGAGGGTCTCAGCATGAAGCAATGCTTGTTCTTAAACATCCAGGGTGGGTTGAATTCATTACAAAGAGAAGGAAGGGGGTGGATGCTAGGCAGAGGTAGGAGTATTGACAAGACAGGACAGAACCGTGGGAGGGGGTAACGTTGAGTCAGGACTGGGAGGTGACCACAGTGGCCTTCAAGAAGATCGTTAGGCTGTGAGAGGAGGGAGGTGGATTGGAAGGCTAAGGCTGGAGGCAGGTAACCTCAGCCAGGAAGGGCCGCGTGTGAATTATGGCTGAGTCAAGTGGAGGCCAGGAAACGGAAGCATCCAGACTTGGTACTGATGAGTGGGTGAGAGGCTAGGGGCTCCAGGATGACCTTCTCCCTGTCTCATTTAGATCCAGGACAACAACGACATCACATACGCAGACCTGAACCTGCCCAAGAGAAAGAAGTCTGCCCCCCGGGCTGCTGAGTCCAACAACCACACGGAATACGCCAGCATTCAGGCTGTCCAGCAGCCCACGCCTGAGGACAGCCTTACCTATGCTGACCTGGACATGGTCCACCTCAACCGGGCCCCAAAGCAGTCAGCCCCCAAGCCCGAGCCATCCCACTCAGAGTATGCCAGCGTCCAGGTCCAGAGGAAGTGAATAGGGCCTAGATCGTCTCAGTTCAGTGCCCTTGAGCCTTCCTGTCCCACGACGGGCAGCCAGCCCAGTTCCCAGAGGGCTGTGGTGGCACAGGCCTTGGGACCCAAGGATGAGGCTGGCTCTTGTCTCCCCAACCCGCTTGGCTCTCCAGCATTTCCAGGGTGGCCACAGCCCCTCACACTACCACACACAGAGGCTGATGCTGCCAGGCCAGCCGGGGAACCCACTTAGAACCGGCCAGGGCAGCCAAGGGTCCAAGAACTCTCATGCTCCTCTCCATCTACCGTGGGTCTTGGTCATGGTCTTAGTGACTCTTGACAGCCTCCTTGATGCTCTGCAGCCTGATCTTCCAAGGTGAGGAGGAGAAAAAGCCCACCTGCTCCTCCCACCACCACCGCCACCGTCCAGCTGGGGCTTCGGGAAGAGTTCTGTTTAGATTAAACCATCCCATCCATGGAGAAGCTAGGAAAAAACTCTGGGACCACATCCTGAGACTCAGTGAGGTTGCTGCCAGCCGTCCTGGCCTCCCGCAACCCTAGACTGACAAGTCACAAGCCCTGGGGAGGAGAAGACCCTCCAAGGAACCCTCCACCACCGCCAAGGACTGAGTAACAAGACCCTCCTCCTCCTCCTGCCCTCTGAGGCTCCTCGAGGACCCGGCATCCTGATGGTGACACTCCACGTGGACCTGCCTCTCCTTTCTAGACCTGAGCTTGCTTCCTCCAGCTAGCACTAACTCAGCAACATCTCGCTGTGGACGCCTGTAAATTATTGATAAATGTGAAACGTGCAATCTTGAAACTGAGGTGTTAGAAAATTTGATCCGTGGTGTTTTGTTCTGTTTTTTTTTTTTTTTTTTTTTTTCTTAAAACAACGGCAGCATTATCTTGGCTCTTTGTCATGTGTTGAAGTACACAGTTGGGTCTTGTGCCGTCTACGGTGTAGTGGTTGGTTTCCTGGAGGGGATGCCCTGCAGCAGGAAGTGTCTTTCCCCCGTGGCCCAGGGCGCTGAGGATGGGGAAGAAGGTTCCAGTTTGGCTGCTCCATGGAGATGCTTAGCCTTCTCTCCAGGACTAAACTGACCACGTTCTCAACCAAGCCACGTGGCTGGTACTACCGCCTCCCTGCCCGCAGTGGGTAAGTCTGAACCTGCCAGTGCTGCTCCAGGCTGCCTCCTTCGCCCTGTGGTCTTGTCGAGACCTAATGCCTCAGTCTGCTTGCCTGAAAAGAGGGGAGAGGAGAGATGCCTCCCTCCCCTCCTCACCACTCCTCATAAGCACTTTAGGGCCATGCAGGGTAGAAAGCTGTGCCTGGCTTTTTTCCCCACTCCTTTAGCGACCTTCCCCCATTCCCACTCTCTGAGCTGATCTCTGCAGAGGGGATCTTCCATCTCTGCTCTCAGAGCCTATTGGGATCAAACTGGATTAAATCCAAGACAGACAGGCGGTCTGGGCAGCCATGAAACCAGGACTGGCCCACCTTTCTGTCCCTCTGTTTCAGCAGGTTGGACAGAGACTGTGATCCATTGTCCTCTGACCCCTATCCTTCCATTTCAGTGTAGGAGCCTGGCTGGGCCCAGGGCAAGCAAATGTTGCACGCTGTGTATTCAGTCTTCACATGTAACTGATCAGCTCTCAGGGCCGAGACACTAATCTTCGCTGCCTGCCCCCGCCCAGGTTCAGACATCTGGTGCCCAAGGGATAGCTGGCTCAGGCCATCAGAGCAAGAGAGAAACTGAACTGTCCTGGCAGTCAGCATGTCCCACAGGTGGAACTCTGGGCACTCAGCACAGACCCGGCTCTCTGGAGGACAGCAATTTGATGTTTCACATGATGGCATCCAGGAATGAGCTGAGCCAACAGGCCATGTGGGCAGCTTTGGCCCGACAAGCTAGAGTTTCTCTGTGGCATCTGGGAGCAGTGTCCCAGCCACCTGGCTCGGGTTATTTCCAAATTCCAAAAGGTTGGCTTGTAAACCTTTGTCTCCCTCTCTTCTGCCCAGAGAACGCACACACATACACACTCACGCAGAATCTTGAAAGAATGTTTTCTTGGTGCCATTTTAATTTTATTTTACTTTGAATTTTGGAAGGGGAGTAACGGGATGAGGCCAAGGAAGCCGTGTAGTTTTAGCTCCAGACTGGCAGCCTGGAGATTCTCATACCCTGTGTATCGAACCCCAGGAAAAGGAAGAGGTCGAAACAACAGTGCGGAAGGAGCGTGGTTTCGAGAGTTTATTTTAAGACTGCTGGGAAGGAAACAGGCCCCATTTTGTATATAGTTGCAACTTAAACTTTTTGGCTTGCAAAATATTTTTGTAATAAAGATTTCTGGGTAACAACAACTGCTTTGAGTGTTGAGTGTCCTTGTTCCTCTGAGTGTGTCCCCCTGTCCCTGGGAGCCTGGGAGAGACGACCGCATGTGGCCCCAGGGCTTGGGAATGATTGTGGCATTTGGTCCTCAGTCTTGGGTTTTAAATAGACACAAAGACCTTGTTTCCCTGGCTCTAAGGGAGTCAGTGTAAGGTTTTGCCCAAGACACCTGCATAAGCAGAATTCCTACTGACAACTGAGTTTGAATCGGCTCTGCCACTTCGTAGCTGCAGGAATTCAAACCACTCACCTCCCTGAGATTCAGGCCTGTTATCAGCACCGTGCGGACAGTAATACCCCCAGCCGGGGTTACTGTGGGGGTTAAAGGGGCCACGGGCACCACACCCTATGCTTGGGACATTCGGTCCTTTACTAAGCATTGGGTCTTTTCTCCACCCCTAAACATTGCACATCAGGGTCTGGTCTGCCTTCCCCATCCATGGGATCTTGGATAAGCAGAACCTCACTTTCCTTCTCTACTGACTGCAGAAACCCAATGCTGGTCCTAGAATATCCTTGCCAGGTGATTCATGCCATGTGTTAGTATATAGTGGGTGCTCAATAAATGTTAGCTTCCTTGCCTCCCATCCATTAGTATATTAATAATATTAATGGCAATTATGTGATATTTGCTGCTTATTGTATGTTGGCAGTTTTTATTGACTAAGTCTTGTAAAGCACACAGCTCGAGGTAGGTAATATTATTGACCTCATTTATAAACAAGACACATGGAGGTAATGTAACTTTTACAGGGTCACACAGCTAATGAGTGATGTTGCTGGGACTCCAACTCCAGCTTTCTGACTTACTTGCCCAACTTCTACCCTCTGAGCTAATATCAACACATCATGTATTGTCACTGACTATGCAATACGGTAAGTAACATGCCAAGTGCTTTATAGTTATTAACTCATTTAATCCCCCCAACCACCATGAGATGTAGGAGCTTTTGTCCATATTTTACAGATGAATAAACAGGCACGGAGAAGTCATTTCCCAATGTCCCACAGCAGAGCCAGGGAAGGAACCCAAGGAGTCTGGCTCTTCCCCACCACGTTGTACCACCTGGTTTAATTCTCATCTCTGTCAGTGTTGCTCATGCCCATTTTGCAAAGAAGGAAAACTAAGGCTTGGAACATGCACGTGACCTGACCAGTCTCACACAAGGAACCTATAGTTGCACTCAGATCTGTAAGAGCACCAGGACCATCCCTGAGCCCTTGGCCTGGTCCCTGTAAGCAGGGACCACCTGAGGCAAAGAGCCTCCTACAGGGCTCAAATGTCACCAGCCTCACAGGCCAGGACCTTGGCTGTGATGGAGAACGCTCTCTGTGAAATGTGTGCTGCTTGCAGGGATGACGTGTTCTAGGCGTGCATCCAGGCTGAGTGGGCGGGAAAATGCATTCTGTTTTCTGGGAAGGCGGGGGATGAAGGACTATGTGTCCAGGCAAGGAGATTTGGGGGATGTATTTCCTGCAGCACCTGGACCTGGCTTCTCCATGGCTCAAATCTCCGGGGCTTCAGGTTGGCAGGCGAAGTAAAAGTTGATAAGAGCCAAGTGACCCTCATCCTGGCCCCCAGGAAATCAGTCAGGCATTGGGCCTTTATCAGACACTTCCTCCGGGTTCCTCCTCGTGCAAAGGAGAGCAATAGGGACCCCCGACTCCAGGAGGACCCAGAGGACCCTTCCCACTTTGCCTGATAAACAGGAAAATCTCTGTCCTTCCTCAAGATTCTAACACCCAACCGTAAAAGCCCCTGTGTCTTCTAGGATATTCCCACCAGTTAAATTTGGATCAAGTTTGTTTTTTATTTAATTTTTACATAAGCACCTATTGTGTATCAACAGTTTCTTTAAGTTCTGTACAAATATTACTTATTGAATATCGATTCACTCCATCCTCTCACAAACCTACAAGGTAGACACTGTGACTGCTCCCTGTTTAATAGAGGAATTAGAGCACAGGGAGATTATATATCTTGTTCAAGCGCCACCATCCAGGGAGAGGTGCGGCTGAGGGTGTGGGTGGGCACTGGATGGGCAGATGGGGATCTTGGGGTTGCTGGAGAGACAGGGGGCCCTCAGACGGTGTTGGGGTGCACTGAGCTCTACGAGGAGGCAGAAAACGCCACGCCTCACCCCCAAAGATAAAAGCATCAGGGTTGACCTGGTTACCTGCCTGACCACCAGCAGCAGATGTACCTTTGGGCTCCCCCAGGGCTTGATCTGCCACCACTGCAGAACCCACTGCACCCATCCCTTAACTACGGCCAGGTGCTTGACCAGGGTCCAGATTCATTTTCTAAATGCGTGGTTATGAAACTGTAAATGCTTTCAAAAAACACATGTGCCCCAGTTGTCCAAACACAGGCAAAACCTTGGTGATAGAGGTCAGAGGGAGGCTATGCTTGGAGGGGTCGGTGATGGGAGGAGCCAGAGGGGCCCTCTGGTCAATAGGATGCTCTGTGTCTCCATCCGAGGGGTGGCACGTGGGGGTTTGCAAATGTAAAAATCCATCAATGCAGCCTTAACATGTCTGCAGTTCCCTGCGTATATGTTATACCTCAAAGTTTCAGGAGGACTGGTGCCCTGTCCCCCTGGGGATTCCACCCTCCAACTATGATGCCTGCCCCCACCTGACAGTTTCTTCAAGATGGTGGCAATGCTTTATCTACGGTCCCCAGCCCCGCCCCGGGCCTGGCTCCCATGAGGGCCTCAAGGAGTGCTGCTGAGTTCATTTGAAAGACAGCATCCCAGTGACCGAAATAGCACATGAAACCACAAATGAAAAAGTGCCAAACTGGGCGTGAAGACCAAGGCTAGCTACAAGAATAAACCATTTATCTGTCATCTCTTCATCTACTGAGACTCTCTTCATTACTCTCCCCACTCACCCGATGCCCTCCCGCCTTCCTGTGGGGTTATAGAGGCAGCTGCACACACAGTCCTCACCCTGCTGCCTTGGGCAAACAGCTTCACCTCTGAGCCTTGATTTAATCTTACCTGAGAAATGGGACAATAGATGTCTATACCTCAGGGACTTCTAATGAAGGTTAAACAGAATCTAGATCTAAGACCCTTTACAGCAGAGTGGCGCAGACCGTAGTCTGCTCACACATATCTACACACACACATTCACACTCACACACACCAGCTACATTCACTCACACATAGATGCATTCACACCACCGCACTCACTCACACATTCACACCCCATACTTGCGTACATTCACACACACACACACACACAATCACTCACACATGTACACACACGTTCATGCCCCCACAATATCACACGCTCGCACATTCATATCCATTCACACCCACACACTCACACACACATTCACACACAGGCACACACACCAAGGCCAGGTTCTCAGAGGAGCTCAGCCCTGACGGGCCTTCTCTCCTGTCTGAAATAATCGCATCAAGTCCTCCCTCCCTCATTGGTCTGGGCTCCTTCTTACCAACTTTGGACACTCCAACACCAGCCTGGTTTTTGGGATCCTCTTTCTTCACCCCACCTGACCTTTTTATGGACTCTTTCTGCTCTTCCCCAGCCCAGACTGGACTCTCTGGCCAGGCAAGTCTTCCTGCCCCATAAATACGGGGCGGATCCACCCGTGACTGTCCCGGCTGCACCGCATGTCATCCCACGGTGACTTAGTGCCTCCCCAGCAACACAACTTCACTTTCTACCACTAGGACCCAGCCTCGGGGGAAGGGGAACTGAAGGCCAGGTGCCGGACAGGATCCCGGGCACCTGCACTCTTTATTTCACTGAATGTTTACATCCTTTGGATGTATGATGGGTGCCATAGTGTCCATTTCACAGATAAGAAAATGGGGGCTCAGAACAGTAAAGAGATAAGCTCGAGATCACTCATTCAGCCAATAGTTATTTCTCAAGCTGCTACTGCGAACCTGACCCTGTGTAAAAATTCTGAGGCCACGATGTTGACACAAGATGGGCCACATCCTTGTGAGCTCATGGGCTGTAAGGGAGCCAGAGCATCTGGAATCCCAATACGTGTGTGCATGCTGCTAGGACAAGGCGGTGTCAGCGTGTGGTTTTCAGGAAACTATAAAACATGATACATACAAGCACAGAATGAACACATTGATGAGTGAGCCAGTGGGAGGGGACAGCTGACTCCAAGAGTAAATGGGTATTTACAGACTTTCAAAACAGGAACATAGAATAAGATTTTTAGATTGCATATAAAACTGGTCAATACAGGACAATAAAAATCATACCTTTGGAGTTATCTTGTCTCCTGAACAAAAATCTACAAATTAGCATATAAGTTTATAAAACCTGGGCTCTAATCAAATAGCAAAGTCAAACTCAGATGTATTCCCCATGGAATTAACTAACCTTGTAATGGGCCTTCTAAATTTTTTTTTTTTTATCCTCACCAGAGGACACTTTTTCATTGCTTTTAGAGAAAGAGGAAGGGAGAGAGAGAAACCTCGATGCCAGAGAGAAGCATCGGCTGGTTGCCTCCTGTTGTGCCCAGACTGGAGTCTGAACCCGCAACCTGGACATGTGCCCTGACTGGGAATCGAACCTGCAAACTTTTAGTTATGGGACAGCATTCCAACCAACTGAGCCACACTGGCCAGGGCTTTAGTGGGCCTTTTCACACAGGACTGACTCAGCCTACATAGGACAGAAAAGGCTTCCTAAAAAAAGAAATCTTGAGCTGAGACCCGAAGGATGTGTATGAATGAGTCAAGTAAAAAGGGTATGAGGGAGGCGGCACCAGGGAGGAGCAAGCCTTCCCTGCATGGCTGGGCCCCGGCAAACTCTGCAGCCCTGTATTGTACTGCTTTCCCCATCTCTCCCTGCAACAACAGTGTCCTGACAGTTCCTGGAATGAACCACATGGCCTTTGCATATGCTGCTCCCTCTGCCTGGAACACTTGCTGGGTTTTTCCTGCTTGTCCTCA